ATGTGTATGCATATTTTTAAAGAATATTTTTCCAAAGTCACAGAATGTGTATGCATATTTTTAAAGAAAAAATTTCTAAAAAATTATAGATGTGAATATTTTTAGAATTTTTTTTTTTTCAAAGTAATATAGGTTTGGATTTTTTTTAATTTTTACTGTGTAATTATTAATATTTTCTTTAGGAGTTTAGCTTCTATTAATATTTTGGTCTTTCAAAATTTCACGCCAACATGTCCTAGGAAGATATATTCTGTGAAACACAATCCAATCCATCCGGTAAAGGGCCACGAATATAGGTCTTTGCAATAAATTCTTCTAAAAAATCTATGTTTATAGATCATGAAAAATATTTCTTAAAAATTCCATAATTATGGTGTTCCTTTTGGAAATATGGCTTAAAAAATCCACAGCTATAGGTATTTGAAAGAACAAACTTTAAAATCCAAAATTACTAGTCCTTTAAAACTTTTTTTTTAATATATATGTAACATAATGTTTTTAGAAATTCTTAAAAAACATTATAGGTCCTTAAGAAATACTCTTTAAAAAATCAATGATTATAGGTCCTTTAAAAAAAATATTTTTTTTTAAAAACACAATTATTGGTTCTTGAAAAAAATATATTTAGAACAATGTACCAAGAAATAATATAAATTTAAAAATTACGAATATTGGTCTATAAAAAATCCACAATTAATGGTTCGTAAAAAATATTTTTTATCTCAAGGTCCTTTAAAATAATTTGTTAAACCTACACGTTAACAATTGGCCCTTTGCAAAAATATTAAAAAAAACGTAATTATTCTTTCTTGAAATAAATTCTCTTTAGAAATATCTACGGCCAATTTACATTGAAATAATATTAATTTAAAAATTTACGAATATTAGTTCATAAACAAAAATCCATAATTACTTGTCCGTGAAAAATAGTCCTTATATCTGGATATACAAAAACCAGTTGACACAACAGTTGATTTTTAAAAAAGTTATTTTCAGGAAGTTTTTTAAGAATATTCTTTAAAATTATTTCCAAAGCATATTACAACCCTTTCCCTTAAGTATTAATCCACCAATGAAAGACCCCCTAATAAACCTTTTATTCCCTGCCTTCATCAAATTAAAGTTTAATTAATAATGAAATGTAATTAAATTATTCATAACATTTCTTCTTATTTACACTTCGTATTTGTAGTTACCGAAATTGGCAAAAAGCGTTTGCAAAACTTTTTGCGAAACTCTTTCCAAAAAATTAACACTTTTACTCAGTCACGAAGATGAGAAGAAGAAATAACATTTAGGGTAATGAACGAAAAACTTTTAGACATCTCTGTAAGTAATTAACACTCGCACTTTTTACGATGGCAGGGAATTATCTCATCTCACGTGAAATTGGGGTGAAAATTAGTAGAGATTTGGAGTAAACGTAGAGGGGGCGCAAAATAAAATTGCGTGGCGTAGAGAATCAGGTGCACATATTTCCCTTTACTATGATGATGGCACATAATTATTATTTATCTTGATAAATAGTAGTCGATCAAATATAGGCGAAAAAAAAGGTCTGACAAAAAATTTGAAAAATATGCCTTTAAAAACCAGCATAAAATATTATTAAATAGATTTTTTGTTTAACAAATTCTTTTTAAACAATTCACGATTTAAAATTGTTTCTTTCAAATTTCACCGCTACTATAGAACCTAAAGGGATTATTTTTAGCTCATCGAGTTTGAGCTGGCTGTCATCGAGCCTTAACATATTAAAAATTAAGGCGAGTACCACAACCCATAAAAAAATCAAAAAATTCACGACAGAAAAAACTTAATAAAAAAATAACATCAGCCATATCCAAATGTTTTTTTCAAATCCCAGTTTGTCAAATCTTTAAAAATATTTTTTAAAAAGACAACCTACTAAAAAATTCCCCGTTTGTAATGACTCCTAAAAAATATATTTTTTTAAAAAATCCCCGTTTTTCAAATCCTCTAAAATAACCCACATTTGACAAATCTACTAAATAAGTTTTTTTTTTTTAATTTAAAAATCCACTTTTGTCAAATCTGCTATAAAATATTTTTTTAAAAAATCCACTTTTGGCAAATCTATAAAAAATATTTTTTAAGGATCCACGTTTGTGAAGTATTCAAAAAATATTTTTTAAGGATCCACGTTTGTGAAGTATTCAAAAAAATATTTTTTTAAGGATCCACGTTTGTGAAGTATTCAAAAAATATTTTTTAAGGATCCACGTTTGTGAAGTATTAAAAAAAATATTTTTAAAAATATCCACGTTCGTAAAAATCTTCCGAAAAATATTTTATAAAAATCCACATTTGAAGAAACTACAAAAAAATACCCTTTTTTGCAGTAATTATTAAAAAATATTTTTAAAAATATCCACGTGTGCAGTAATTATTAAAAATATTTTTTTTTAAAAAAGGACGTTTGCTGTAATTTAAAAAAAAAAATATTTTTTATTAAAAACCACTTTTGCTATAAATATTAATATTTTTAAAAATCCACATTTGCTGTAATTATTAAAAATATATTTTTAAAATAATTTACGCTTGCTGTAATTATAAAAAAATATTTTTTAAAAAATCCACGTTTGATGTAATTATTAAAAAAAATATTTTTTAAAAAATCCACTATTGCAGTAATTATTAAAAAATATTTTTTGAAAAATCCATTTTTCTAAGAACTCTCAAAAAATATATTTTTTTAAAAAAAACTCACGTTTGTCAAATTTTAGGAAAAAATAGTTCTTAAAGATCCACGTCTGTGAAATTTTGAGAATATTATTTTTTTAAATCCACACATAAAAGAACTCCCAAAAAATGTTTTTTAAAAATCCAGGTTTCTAGGAATGCTTACATATATTTTTTAAAAATCCACGTTTGTAAGAACTCCCAAAAAATGTTTTTTAAAAACTCAAAGTTTCTAAGAATGCCCACATATATTTTTTAAAAAATCCACGTTTGTAAGAACTCCCAAAAAATATTTTTTAAAAACTCCACGTTTGTAAGAACTTCCAAATAATATTTTTTTGAAATATCCTCGTTTGTAAGAAGCCTCAATAATACTTTTTTAAGAAAACACGTTTGTAGGACCCCTCAAAAAATATTTTTTTTTTTTTTAAATGCACGTTTCCAAAAAAGTTTTTTCTTTAAATTCACCTTTTTCGTATCTCCTACACAATATATTTTTAAAAAATCCACATTTGTAAAAACCTCCAATTTTTTTAATCCACGTCTGTAAAAACTTCCCAAAAACATTTTTTTTAAATCGGCGCTTGTGAAATATACAGAAACATATTTTTTAAAGGTTAACGTTTGTCAAATATTCAAAAAAATATTTTTAAAAAAATCTACATTAAAAAAAATCTACTCCCAAAAAATATATTTTTAGTCCACATTTGATATATCTCCTGGAAAATATTTTTTTCTTTAAATCCATTCCCATTTCTTTCCAATTCTAAAAAATATTTTCTAAAAAGTCCATCCTCCAAAAAACGTTTTAAAAAAGTTCACGTTTGTAAGAACTCCCAAAAATATTCTTAAAAATCTTTACATACGGCGATCTTCTATTTTTTTTTTTAATCTACGTTTGTGAAATTATCTCCATAATTTTTTACATTCATTTTTGATGAAAAATTTGAAAAATTTTGAATCTTGGAAAATATTTTTTAATCCATTTTCATTTTATTCCAATTTATATTTTTTTTTATAAAAAGTCCAATATATGAAAAAATTTATAAAAATATTTTTAAAAAAATCGACGTTCATCGAATATTCAGAAAAAAATTTTAAATGAATCCCCGTTCATCGAATATTCAGAAAAATTTTTTAATCCACGTTCATCGAATATTCAGAAAAAAATATTTTTTTTTCAAAATCTACGTTCATGGAATATTCAGATCTTTTTTTTAAATCCACGTTTATCGAATATTCAGATCTTTTTTTTAAATCCACGTTTATCGAATATTCAGATCTTTTTTTAAATCCACGTTTATCTAATATTTAGAAAAATATTTTTTTAAAAAATCCACGTTAATCGAATATTCAGAAAAATATTTTCTAAAAATTCCACGTTAATCGAATATTCAGAAAAATATTTTTTTAAAAAATCCACGTTAATCGAATATTCAGAAAAATATTTTCTAAAAATTCCACGTTAATCGAATATTCAGAAAAATATTTTCTAAAAATTCCACGTTAATTGAATATTTAGAAGAATATTTTTTAAAAAATCCACGTTCATCGAATATTCAGAAAAATATATTTTTTTCAAAATCTACGATCATGGAAAATTCAGATCTTTTTTTTAAATCCACGTTTATCGAATATTCAGATCTTTTTTTTAAATCCACGTTTATCGAATATTCAGATCTTTTTTTTAAATCCACGTTTATCGAATATTTAGAAAAATATTTTATAAAAAATCCAGGTTCATCGAATATTTAAAAAATATTTTTTTAAAAAATCCACGTTCATCGAATTTTTAGAAATATATTTTTTAAAAAATCCACGTTCATCGAATTTTTAGAAATATATTTTCTAAAAAATCCACGTTCATCGAATATTCAAAAAAAAAATATTTTTTAAAAAATCCACGTTCATCGAATATTTAGAAAAATATTTTTTAAAAAACCCACGTTCATCACATTTTCAAAAAAATATTTAAATAAATCCACGTTTGTGATTTGAAAAACATTTTTTTTTCGCAATATTTCCTAAAAATAGTTTTCGAAAAATTCTGGTTCGTCAAACATTCAAAAAAATATTTAAAAAAAATCCACGTTTAATAGATATGTCTTCTGAACTTTTTTTGATTTCAAATCTGTAACTGTAACTTTCCATTTCACCATAATTGAAAAATTCCCACTGAATGTGACACAATCGTATTTTCCACCATTGAAAACTGTGCGAATTTTGCGATTTCGTTTTTTTTTTTTTGTTGTTGTTGCTGTTTTTGCCTTTTCAATTTTCCATTTTTGTGTACAAACCTGTTGTTCCATTTTTTGACTGCGATTGCTAATTGCCGACATGGTGATGATGACGATTTTTGTTGTTTGTAGAAATAGTTGTTGTTGCTGTTGTTTGTTTCAATGTCGCAGTGACGTTGTGTGATGTCTGTCGAGACACTGACAGGTGACTTGATGCAAAAGGACGGCAGAGTATTTTTGTTTTATTGTTGTTATTATTGTAGAATATTGGAGGTTTGTTGTTGGTTGGGTTGGTTTTTCTTTGGGAATTTAAACACTTGAATTTTTATTGATTTTGTATTTCAATATTTTTTTAAGAGCGATTTTCAAAAATATTTAACACTTGTCACAAAAAATTTATGAGGAACACTTGGGACACACAAAAGGATGTCGTTTTAGAAAAATTAGAAACACTTTGTTGTTGGTTTTTTTTGTGCCGTCTTAGCAGCTGTTACTTGGCGACGCCAACATTTGCAATGCCTGACTGATTTCCAAATGATTTTTTGTGGTTTTCGAAAGCAACGTTTTTTTCTTTCGTTTCGGCAAGTACTTGTTGTGAACTCTGAGTAAGTGTTGTTGTTGTTATTGAATCGGATTTTGTTTATTATTTTTTTAAAGATTTTTTTTTTTTGTTTTGGTTTCTATAACATCTGGCAGCTCTATATTTTTTGTATTGGCTTTAATGTTGAGGGAAAAATTTTTCCATTGGCTAAACAAATTGGCAATAATACATGGCGGCAATTATCGGGCCATTGGCGCGAGTCTTATTCCAATGTAAATAAAAAATGGTATTCCAAAATTTTTATTGATTTTCTTTGTTATTTTTTATTTTAGAAATTTTCTTTTGGTTTTCATTAGCCACCGAACGAGCGCGTTCCGAAATGATTCACAAAAATACTGGACATGCAAAGCATGACGTCATGTTGTTGTTTCACTTCAAACGTACAACATTATTATCCTGGCAACCGTATAAAAAAATAACTTCAACTTAAAACAAGAACCACAACAACAACCGATATCATTAAGGGGAAGAGTATTCGCGTATTTCTCGGAATTCTTTTGATTCTAAAAATTGAGGAAACACGGAAAACGTGTTTTACTTTTGTCTAATTTTCATATGTAAACCGTTGCGTAGCTAAACGATGACTAAAGGACTCGGATTTCACCATACGGCATGGCAAACAACAACAGAAAAATAACATTGCTACGCTCTCTCAGTCTGTCTGTTCGGCCATTAACATTTGCCAGAAATTCGAAAACATGCTGAATTTGGCTGTAGAGGAATCTCAGAGAGGTAACGGAAAAATATAAATTCTCTCTCACTCCCTCTCTCTCTCTTTTTCTGTTTTAAAAAAGGATTCCTGCATATCCTTGCTTTTAAACAAGTTTCAAATGTTAAACCACGACAGACTGATAACATAACCTCTCTCTCTCTCTCTGTCCTCATTTTCTTCATATTACTCTCCTACCATTACTCTCAGCAATTCCCTATGGTGTGAGAAGCCTCCTCCCTTTCTGTAACTGAAATCCTGCAAGTCCTCATATTCACGATAACAAAAATCTACAGAAACACATTGAGAGGAGAGCAAACATTTCCCTCTCTCTGCGTATTTTCCATTTACAAAATACACCATCCTTTGGTGTGAGTTGTCCCTCCAATTCTGTAAAGGATTCCTGCATTTTTCCTTTTAAATAATCCACTGTTAAATGTAAAACAACATTGAACAGCAGGAAACCAAGTTATTCTCCCATATTTTCAAAATTTTCTCTCTCAAAAGCAGCCGCCTCTCTGTCTCTCTGCATTTGTTGTCCTTTGGTGTGGGGAACCTACATTTATGTTAGGCTACATGTGTTTGTGTTGTGTGCGACGAGCCTGCTGCAACCGGCCTTTTTCCTCTTCTTCCTCCTCCTATGCCCTCCTTGTGTTCTGCGTTTCGTTCAACAGGACGCAGGACATGGCACATGGAACTATGGCAACCGTAAATATGGCAAAAGTAAAGCAGAGTATTAAAGGCTTCGCCATGGCGGCACATGTGTACTTAGCTACGCTGGCTTTTTGCAGCTGCTGGGTAGAGTTGTCATATTGGGAAGAAAAAGGTTGAAAGGTTTGTTGAAAATATTTATTTGAAACAGAAACTTATAAACTTATAAAAAATGTTTTAAAAAAATGCACGCAAATTTCAAGGGTTGCGGTTTTTTTTTCGAATATATAACTTATAAAGGTTCGGAAAACATGGGTTATGAAATTAATTTGGAGGATCATAGATAATAAATCGGGGATCTTTTTCATTAAAAAGACATTATTCACTGGAATTGTTTCAAATTTGGTATTTGGATGCTACAGCCTGTGACAGAAAATTGTCTATGCAGGTTCACGTCTTCGTATAGGCGCCATATATCAGTACCTCCCTATATTCGGTATTTTGACGAGTTTAGGTACAATACCCACCGAAATTGTTTGAGATGTCGTATTTGAAGTTCGTAATGGATGCTACAGCCTGTGACAGAAAATTGTCTATGCTGGTCCAGGTCTTCGCATAGCTCCGATATAACGGTACCTCCCTATATACGATATTTTGCTGATTTAAGCTTCATTATTCACCGTTTATTTCAAGTTTCGAATTTGAATATGGTAACGGCTTATGACAAACAATGCCTATGTAGGTCCACGTCGTATAGACCTCAATATAACTACTATCTTCGGTATTTTTAAAATTCTAACAGATTTTTTTAAGGATTTTATTTTTTGAAAAATTTCAAATTCGTTCCAAATGGTGGAGGGTATTCAAAGTTCGGCCCGGGCGAACTTACTGCTTTTTAACTTGTTATTATTATTTTTATTTTTATTTTTTCAATATTTCAGGCTACTCCAGGCATTGATTGCTTATAGCCTTTTTTCAGAGACAAAAAGCCCATAGCGTTTATACCCCCATCGCCATGGCTGCAGAGGCTATATATCATTGGATACGGCCAAAATTTGAATCATCGAAATAACAATTTTAGACCCTAGGTTTCTTTTGACCAAATCCGTTTCAGGACATTTCTAGTCGATCTAGACGTGACTGCCGTCTGTCTGTCTGTCTGAACTGGTGCACACGATAACTCTCGAAGGGTGTATCCGATTTTATCCAAACTTGGTACATCGTAATATTATTGTCAAACTTAGATCGGGTTCGGAGATGGGCAATATAGGTTCACTCCTTCTGGTACTTCCCCCATATCATTAAATTTTAACAACGCTAGGTAAGGTGCGAAAATAGACTGTTCCGGCCCACTCCATCAAGTACCTTCCTCGCAAAATGTCACTATTTTTATACCCTCCACCATACTATGGAGGGTATATTAATTTTGTCATTCCGTTTGTAACTCCTCGAAATACTCATGTCAGACCCAACAAAGTATATATATTCTTAATCAGCGTAAAATTCTAAGACGATTTAGCCATGTCCGTCTGTCTGTCTGTCTGTCTGTCTGTCTGTCTGTCTGTCCGTCTGTCTGTTGTAATCACGCTATCTTTCGAACAAATTGAGATAGAAGGCTAAAATTTTACACACATGTATATTTTGCCAGTAGGCAGGTTAAGTTCGTAAATGGGCCATGTATGTCTAAGTTATCATATGGCCCCCATATAACGGTACCTCCCGATATTCGGTATTTTGCTGATTTTGGCGACATTATTCACCGGAATTGTTTCAAATTTGGTATTTGAAGTTCGAAATGGATACTACCGCCTAAGACAGAAAATTATCTGTGCAGGTCTACGTCTTTGTATAGCTCCCATATAACGGTACCTCCCTATATTCGGTATTTTGATGATTTTAGCGACATTGTTTACCGGAATCGTTTCAAATTTGGCATTTGAAGTTCGTAATGGATACTACATCCTAAGTCAAAAAATGGGCCATGTAGGTCCACGTCTTCATATAGCCCCCATATACCGCACCCCCGATATTCGGTATTTTGATGATTTTAGCGACACTATTTACCGGGATTGTTTAAAATTTGGCACTTGAAGTTCGTAATGGATACTTCAGCCCATGCCAGAAAATTGTCTGTGCAGGTCCACGTCTTGGTATAGCCCCCATATAACGGTACCCCCATATTCGGAATTTTGATGATTTTAGCTACATTATAAACTGATTTTTCTTCAAGTTTCGCATTTAAATATTGTAATAACATATGACAAAAGTTGCCTATGCAGGTCCACGTCGTCGTATAAGCATTCGGTATTTTTAAGATTTTAACAGAATTTTTAACGGATTTTATTTTCTTTTTTTTTTTTTGGAAATTGCCAAATATATACCAAGAGGTGGAGGGTATTAAATGTTCGGCCCGGCCGAACTTACAGCTTTTTTACTTGTTAATAATTATAACTCTTATTAAATGTGATGTAAATAATTATCTTCATATCTCAGACATCCCTTTATTTCTACCAACAGAAGATCTTGCATGAAGAACGGATAAAACGGATTATTCCTTCTGGTACCTCCCCCACAATGGCTCTAAATTTTGATTAGCCATGACGCTCAAAAAAAGTGAAATGAACATTCGATTATGTTCAAACTTGGCACAACCCCATATTTTTACTAACACAAGATGGGATACACAGGTAAACTCCTTCTGGTACCTCTCCCACAATGGGGTCAACATTTTTAAATTCGTACTAAAAGGTACGAAAAATACTTAAATGTACTCAAAATGGAATATTTTGTATTGGATAAACGGGACTGAACCAGACTGCTGAAATTTGTAATGGAAGTCACTAATGGGCTGCGCGATAGACTTACCAAAGGGTTTTTGGGGATTCGAACTTTAAGGTTACGAAATGTACTAAATGTTACTAAATTTGGAACAGCTTGGAGCGAGCGGATGAATTAAAATTCGAAATTTTGTACTGGTGGTAGATTTTGTAATTCTGGAAATGTGTACTACAAGTGTACGTACTAAGTACTAAATAGTACTATTTTTGGTACAATTTGGCATTGAGTGAACAGATAGTGCGTGAAATCTAAAATTTGGTATTAGGGTCGCTGTTCCTGTATAGCCTGGACATATGGAGATGTTTTCGGATATGTGTACTATAATTGTAGGAAAAGTTACTAGCTTGTACTAAATTTGGTATTTGTATTGGTTTCTGGTTAAGATTCGGAGGTGGGTTTGGTATTGGTAATTGCACGAAATGGTAATACATTTGGTATTGAATGAAAGGATAGGTCTGGCGTCTTCAAATTTGATATTGAGGTCTCTGTTGGTAACTGGTGTTAAGATGTGGTTGTGGTTTTAGAAATGTGTACTTCAAGTTACGAATAGTACTAAATGGTACTAAATTTCATATTAAGTGAAGGGTTAGAGCTGAAATTCCGAAATTTGATGTTGGAGTTGACTGTTGGCTGTGTGCTATAATTGTTCGAAAAGTACTAAATGGTACTAAATTTGGTATTGGGTGATGGGTAAGATATAAAATTCTGATATTTGATATGCAGCACTGAGTGGTATTAAATTGGGATTTGGGTGAAGGGATGGATAGGGCTGCAATCATCAAATTTGTTATTAAGGTCTCTGTTGGTATCTGGAACTAAAATGTGGCTGTGATTTGGAAATGCATCACATTTGTGTACCAACTAAATTAGTATTAAATTTTTCATTGAATGAAAGAATAGAGCTGAAATCCCGAAATTTGTTATTGAGGTCACTGTTGGTGTTTCTGTTTAAAATATGGAGGCGGTTTTGGAAATGTGTGCTATAATTGTTCGAAAAGTACTATATGGTAATAAATTTAGTATTGGGCGAAGGGATAGGACTGGAATCCTCAAATTTATTATTAAGGTCTCTGTTGGGATCTGGAAGTGAGATTTGGCTGTGGTTTAAAAATGCGTTCCATTTGTGTACGAAAAGTACAGCATAGCACTAAATGTGGTACTGGGCGAACCAATAGAGCTGAAATCCTAAAATTTGACGTAGATGTCACTGTTGGTATCTGGGATTAAGATATGGAGGTGGTTTTGGAAATGTGTACTATAATCGCACGAAAAGTACGAAGTGGAGCTGAATTGAGTATTGGGTGAAGGGATGGAGCTGAAATACCGAAATTTGATATTGAGATCGCCATTGGTTTCTAGAGTTTACATCGGGAGACGATGAAATCGTTTTGAACATAAAAATTGGATGTGGGTCCATTGTACAATGGTTTTACTGATATCCCACTCGGAACACTTAAACAGGAATGATTTTGAAGACTTTTTGTTTTGTGATCAAAAAAAAAAAAAGAAGATTTTTATAAGAAATTTTATGAGAATTTTTTAAACGTTTTATTTAAAATCTTTTAAGGCTAATAAAGGTGGATTTTTCATAGGAATATTTTCTAAAAACCTCTGGCAAATAATCATGAATTTAAAAATAATGTTTTTTTTAGAATCATCTGATCAAAAAAAAAAAAAAAAAAAAATGGCCCACGACCAAGTGTCCCTGTTGTCAATAAATTTAAACTTTATAAAGAACAAATTTTCAAGGGCAGTTTTTACGTTTTTTTTTTCGAAGATTTTTTTTTTTAAATATTTTCTTAAGGTGGAGTTTTTAATATGGATTTTTTAAAAATATTTTTTCAAGGACCAGATGAGAGTAAGGACGTGAAATAATGTAGATTTTTAAAGGATATTTCAAATTTAAAGGAATTTTAGATGACTATTTTTTAAAGGAAACTCTGATCCAAAAAAAAGTCCATCAAAAATATTTGCTGACATGAATTTTTCTTAGCGTGGATTTCTTTCAGAATTTTTTTAATATGGACTTAAAGAATATTTTTTCAAGGACCAGTTATGACGTTAAATTCGTAGATTTTTGAGGAAATTCTGAATATTGTAAGAATATATTTACAACATGGATTTTTGATGTAGTTTTTTTAACGTGAAATTTCAAATAATATTTTGAAAGAATATTTTTTTCAACTTGGATTTTTAAATAATTTTTTAATAAAGATTTTTTACAGATTTTTTTTTTTTCATTTTTAAGAATATTTTTATATTTTTTAATTAGAGATATTTTAAATTATTTTTTCTCAATGTGGATTATGAATGTTTTATTTTTTTTTTTAACTGGATTTTTTATTTTTTTAATATTTTTATTGAGAATACATTTTCAAGGCGATTTTTTTAAATATATATATTTTTTTTCAAATTTGTTTGTGATTATATTATAATCTAATTATTTTCTATTTTGTTGTTTATCTAATCTTTAAAATGTAACCACGTTCATATTGCAGTACCTTATTGCCTCTTGTCTAAAACAATGATAAGTGTCCTTTTACCCAAATATTTATTTTAAAGATGCATCAGATGATGCATTTTTGCCTAAGCTATAAGCCACGTTCAGCAAACGACTGGCTGTTTTTTTTTTGCTCTACCGAATATTGTCTGTTTTTCTTTGGATCCTAAGGTGGGCACTCAACATTTTTTACTTTATGGCTTGAATGCGGAATAAGTCACACGTTATGTACACATGACTTTGGAAGGCATTTTAAATATTCAAGGGAGGACTTAAAAGGATTAGAATAGGGAAAAAACAAAAAAAAATAATAAATGTTTAAAAATTGGAATTTAAGCTTACCCCTTATTTTTTGATTTATCCGCCAATTAAAAAAATAATAAAATTTTTAATTAAAAAATTTCAAAATTTATTTACAAAACTTTAAGTGGCGTTGTTTTAAACTTATAAGCAAAAATTAAAAAGAAAATCGATATAATTAATAACAAATTTTATAAATAACAATACCCTGTGTTTTTATAAATCATGGGTAGAAGTAGTAGAGATAGAGGGATTACAAAGAGATTAATGTTAAAGTAAATTATATTATTTAAATTTATTTATAAATTTAAGGTCTTTATCGTAGTGCTAATAACAATTTTTTAATAATAAATATTTTATTATTAATATTTTATTCATATATTATTAATTTCTTTAATTTTTTTTCATTAAAAATATTTTCCTAGATTCAAAAAATAAAAATATAAACAGGGGACAATATAGCCAAAACAAACAAATTTCGATAGCCAACAGCTGAACATAAATAGCGATCAGCTGTTTGAACATTAAAATCAGCTGATCGGTTTCAGCTGTTTCTACGCAGCGGCCAGGTTATTATAATAAGAAGTTATTTGATTGCTATTAGCCGTCTAATGATCATTCTGATCACTTCAGCTGATAGTGCTGATGTCCTCCATTCCAAATTTGCTAAAAGACAGCTGATTGCTTTTACACACCAGATGATTATCCTATGCAATCAGCTGATCGCGCTGATTCCACAGAACTGTTAGCTGATGCCCTCTATTTCAGAATTGTTAATCATATTCGAAATTTCATTAAAGCTAATATCAAATAACGTTTAAATATAAATTCTATACTAGCAGATTTCGTTCATAAACATAATAATTATATATTTTTTTATGTTTTGGTTTTATTATTTTTTTTTTATAAATTATGTGAGCAAGATATTTTCCCTAAATTATAGCTAAATGATATTTATTTTCAGAGAGAACACTTTCTCTCTGAAAATATGAAATCAAATTTATTTTTTTGCATAGGGTGAAAAGTTCGAATATGAAAAGCGAGATTTTAAGTCTATAATGGTATACCAAGATTTCCTACTGAAATCGGAAATTGAAATAACCTCTTATTGTTCATAAGGATTCGATGTTGAATCTATAGACAGTTGACGAAGACGGCGAATACATTGTGGATAGGAGAGATAGAGATTCAAAGAATTTGAAATAATGGCGCCCAAATAGAAAAAATATTCTTGTTCGAAGTGAGAATGACCTAAATGTAAGTCTAATATGTATAGTATTCATAAATTTTTGAAACCGCCAAGACCTCGAAATATATTTAAATAATCTCTAATACACCATTGATAATAGTTTTGGAAGCGAAAGCTGAGGGTGGATCCCTTAAAGTTTTTTTTGCAGTTCTTAAGCTCCGGTTACCAAAATAACATCTAAAGAGTTTATGATTTTTAAAAGTGGCTCCCAACGAGAAAATACATATATTTTCTGTGAGAAAAAGTATGATCGTAGCCTGGTTGAAAATACCTTCAAATATATAAACATGATTATATTTCTATTTTTTTTTTTAATTGCTTGAATTCCACAAAATTTTCAAGGAATTATTTGAAAGTGGCGCCCAAGCTGTATCTATTGTTGTTTTAGAAATAATTATAACTTTGAACAATTTGGGTTTGAAGTCTCCTACCATTTAGTACACCATACATGACAAAATACCTCCAACATTTTTTTAAAAATGTGATCTTGAATTTTTTAGAAAATGGCGCCCAACGGGTAATTAAATATCCCTACTATTAAACTCGGTTGATTGGCTGTAACAATGAGAGCAATTCACTTGCAAAATTTGTCTGTGCTATGGCCTGTGGCCATTTGTGGAAATTGAGGTATCGCCGAGGTATTTTGTGAAATTGGCGCCCAAGCAATGCTGTTTGTAGTTTGAGAAATTTTAATTTTATTAAAAAAATATATTTTTATTTGAGTTCTCCTTAGATTTAGGTCTCGCAAATTATTTTCAAGGATGCGTTTGGTGTTTTTACAAAGTGGCGCCCAACGGGATAACAAATTTTCTTTGTTAATCGATTGAAATAATAAAAAAATACTTCTTTTTGGCTGCCAAAGCTGAATATGACAATTTGGGAAGTGGGGCGGTATTGATCGCAATGTGAGAAAAAATTCATAATCCTTCCATAATCCTTTAGGACACGTTTGTACAAATGAAGCAAAGATTATAAAGACACTTGCAGTACCTCTTCAGGGGTGCTGGAGTTTAAGGCGATTATTTGTGGTACACGGCATCCAACTATGTTTTTCCTTTTTTGGAAATTGGTCATAACCGCCTCAAATTTGGAAAGTGGCGCCCACGCGGTATTGATTGCAATTTTTAAGAATTGATTGCAAATTTTAAGAAAGAAAAAAATTAAGAATTCATAATTCTTAAGAATGTGATTAATTTTGTATACGGGTTCCTAAAATTTAGGACACATTTGTACAAATGAAGCAAATATTATGAAGACACTTGCAGTACCTCTTAAGGGGTACTGGAGTTTTAGGCGATTATTTGTGGTACATGGCATCAAACTATGATTTTCCTTTTTTGAAAATTGAGCATAACGGCCTCAAATTCTTGTCAGGGAGCATGAGGTAGGCGATCAGTATTTTTATAGATTTTGGAATTCTGTGTAAAATATCCTGACATAACCTGATATAAGGGAAAAAATGGAGGAATCATGAAACTAGATTCATGAGTTTTCCAGATCTGGAAAACTTAATTTTTAAAAAAAAAATCTACCAATGATCTCAGGTTTTTTGAAGATTTTGTTTTCAACCTTGACACAAAAGGTGCCTAACGTTATTAGCTGCTATTCGCCGTTTCTGAAATGTCAGAAAACTGAAATTTTTGAAAAGGGGCCGAATTTGGCGAACAGTTTTTGGATTATATTTTTGGCTCTCAACTCTTTAAATCTTGAGATAATCATTCAAAATTTAATTCACTTAGTCTTGAGAAAATTGTCAATGATATGGGTTTGGGAAAAAGTTTTCGAAAAAATAAAACAACAAATTTGGAAATGGAGCCCACTTCGACATTTTAATAAAAAAAGCCTGGATTCAGAACAAAATGTGTCCATTTCTTTCTTTCAATATATTACTACTGCCTTATATTTTATTTTTTTAGATTCTATGAGGATATTCTATTTGTTTTTCTGGGAATTAATTGCGATTGGTTTTTGGATAATATTTCTGGCTCTCAATTTTTTTAATCTTGAGATAAACATTCAAAATTTGATTCACTTAGCCTTAAGAAAATTGTCAATGATATGGGTTTGGGAAAAAGGTATGGTTGTAGTTGAAAAATGACGCTCAAGAAGCGAACAACTTTTCAAGTATTCGAAAGAATAGAAAAAAAAAATATGAAAATGGCGCCCAATTCGACATTTTTATAAAAAGGCTAAAATTCAAAAATAGTCAAGATTCAGAAAAAAAAATAGCCCATTTCTTTCTTTTAATATTTTACTACGGCCTATGGGATCAATCCTTCGGTAGATTTTCTCAGGGATACAATTCCACACTTCATTCATATAGCCATCTGTTTCAGAGTTCTTCGGAAATTGGTATATATTTACCGTTGGGCGCCATTTTTCCCATTTTATTTTTTTAGACATTCTATTCGTTTTTCTGGGAATTAATTGTTCATAATACAAGGAATATAATATTGAATAAGGTTTATTCAGGGCATATGGCCCTAATTCAAAAATCCTGCAAAGCCTATGTTTATTGAATCCCAGTTATCGAAACTTTTCCTATTTTTTTTTCTCCAAAAGTTATCTCCCATTTTTTTTTATTTTTTTCCTTTTTCTCGCTTAAAATGCAACACTGATGATTATGATAATGGTTTGCTTTGCAATGATATGGCAACTCTGATTGTTTTTTTTTTTTTTTTTTTGTTTTCCGTAACTATTAATTTAAACTAAAGCCTATAAATTTCACTGAGTTTTCGCATTTTCTCTTATTTACTAAAGCCCAAAAGTTCTACTTAGTTTTTTCCTCTCTATTTAAAAAAACGTCTCTTTTTCTTCTTCTCTGGGGGTGGTGGTGATTCCACTGAGACCTGACGGCGTGGCAATAGCGGTGGTGGTTGGGCCTCGGCATCACTGGTTGCCAATTCATCTTGACTTTCTTGCGGTGAATTTGGACGATTATTGTTGCGCAAAATCGAGGTCAGCGGACGTGGTGGCATTGGCGATGATGGTTCATTTTCTCCCTCATCGATTGTGCCCAAACGGGAACCATGAACCGAGGCTAGATCAGATGGCGTCTTCACTGTTGAATCCTCCTCACCCACTTCACTGGGCACGCCAAGACCAATTGTGGCACCAATCTTGGCACTGGCATCCTTGAAGGTATCGCTCAGCTTAATTTGCACCACATTAATGAACATAGAGGTGAGAGCCAAACCAAAGACCAAGTAGATGATACTGCACATCATGAAAATGGGATGATCCGGCACTAGGTCACCAAAACCAATTGTCGACATGGAAATGAAGACGAAATAGAAGGCCTCCATATAGGTCCAATCCTCCCAGATGTGATAGACAAAGGCACCCACCAAAATGTAACCAATCAGCAGAATCGAAGCCAACGATATGGGTAAATTGAATTCATCATCCACGACAATGGTCTCGGGGTACGGTGATGTCGGTGTATCCGGATGCGATGAACGATTGGCATCCGAAATCTGCGATTCGACATCACTCTCTGCAGTAATACCAAAAAATTGGCTTGGTCGACGTATGGCGGCGTCGTACATCATCGAAACGCCATTCATGGCATCGCGCACCTGTTGCTGTTTGCGTATTTTACGGCATGTACCCGTATAATACAGACGCCGCACATAGCCCCAAACGAATTTAATGATACGCGTAAAGAGTTTACCAAAATCCGCCAAGAGTATCAAGAAGATCGGTATACCAATAATGGCGTAGGCGATTGTCAACGATTGACCCAGGGTGGTTTTCGGTGTTATGTGGCCATAACCTGGAAGAGAATAAAGAGAGAGGAGAAAGAGGAGGTTAGAAATCAGTTTTCAAATTTAAAATTCATGAGTTCAAAATTTATGCGCCATCACATTATCTGAAAATCGAAGTACCTAAAAGAAGGCAGTCTTGCCTTCCCATCCACAGAAGATAGAATGAGTTGGAAGGACCCAGAGAGAAATATAGTCAGATATATGTTAATAACTCGAACTTATCCTGTAAGTATTGCAGTTGGCACCCAACGTTTCGAGCCTGAGAACTTTTTCATTAAAAGTCCTAATGACCCCAACTTCTCCCACAGTAATGCAGTTGGCGCCCAACGTTTTGACCATGACAACGTATTTATTAATACTCTCCGAATACCATGACCCGAACTTCTTCTATGGTAATTCAGTTGGCGCCCAACGTATTAACCACGACAACGTATTTTTTTAAAGACTTGAAACTGGACGTCCTGAACTTCTCCTATAGTATTTCAGTTGGCGCCCAACGTTTCGAGCCTGAGAACTTTTTCCTAATGACCCCAACTTCTCCCACAGTAATGCAGTTGGCGCCCAACGTTAATTAATACTCTCCGAATTCCATGACCCGAACTTCTCCTATGGTGACTCAGTTGGCACCCAATGTTTCGACCATGACCACATATTTATTTAAAGACTTTAAACTGGATGATCTGAATTTCTCCTATAGTAATTCAGTTGGAGCCCAACGTTTCATGCATGACAACTTTTCCATTAAAAGTCTTAATGGCCCCAACTTCTCCCATAGTAACCCAGTTGGCGCCCAACGTTTCGACCATGACAGCTTATTCATTAAAAGACTCCTTAATTAAGTCAAACTCCACACACCTGCCGTAGGAACAAAAATTGGCTCCCAACTCAGGTTTTTAAAAGACTATAGAGCTCAACGGCATCTTACCGCGTCTGTACCGCGAGGGAAGAAGAAAATTCGGAACTTAACTCTGGTTTCTTTAAGATATGGCTTTTCCAACTTCATCCAGATAAGACGTCCAACGTTTTCAGTAGCTACAGTCAAGAATATGAATTAAAAGTTGACCTCTCCGAATGTAAACTACGGCAAAAATATAGATGGCGCCCAACGTGGGGAGAATTAGAAAGGTTTACTTTTTTATGAAATGGTTTAAAAAAATATTGGGTAGCAAATGCTATCGCTAAGAGGGAACAATATTAAGGGATACAAATAGCGCCCAACGATATTTTTTGATGCGGATTTTTTATGGCGCCCAACGTGAGGAGAATAAGAGAGGTTTATTTTTTTAAGAAATGGTTTAAAAAATAATGGGTAGCAAATGCTACCGCAAAGAGGGAAATGGCGCCCAACGATATATTTTGATGCGGATTTTTTTATTTATATATTTTATTATCAACGTTTCCGTAGCTAAAGTCGAGAATTTGAATTAAAATCGATGCGGATTTTTTATACCCTCAGCCATATGGCTAGAGAGGATATCATTTGATACGGCCTAAACGAGCCTCATCGAAATTACGATTTTAGACCCTAGGTCTCTTTGGACCAAATCCGTTTCCGTAGCTAAAGTCGAGAATTTGAATTAAAATCGATGCGGATTTGTTATACCCTCAGCCATATGGCTAGAGAGGATGTCATTTGATATGGCCAAAATGAGCCTCATCGAAATTACGATTTTAGACCCTAGGTCTCTTTGCACCAAATCCTTTTCAGGACATTTGGAGTCGATCCAGCAAGTTCCGGCCGTACTTCTGTCTGGTGAGCACAATAACTCTCGAAGGAAGTATCCGATTTGGTTTAAACTTGGTACATAAATATTATTGTCAAACTTAAATCGAGTTCGGAGATGGGCAATATCGGTCCACTCCTTCTGGTACCTGCCCCACAAAAGGTCGACATTTTTTAAAAATAAAATATTTTTTTCTGCACAGAAAGAGAAACGATAATCCGATTTAGCTCAAACTTTGCAAATCCTAATATTTGCGTCAGTTCTAGATCTGGTGCAAAAACGGACAATATCGGTCCACTCCATCAAGTACCTCCCCCACAATGGTTCAAAAATTCGAATAATTACAGCTCTTGTAAAATGTGATGTAAGAGTCCGATTGTCTTCAAATGTCACACATCCCAATATTATTATTAGCCCAAGGTCTGGTGCCAAGGTGGAATACATCAGCACACTCCATCTGGTACCTCCCCGACAAAATGTCAAAATTTTCAAAAAATATTTCCTGCACAGAAAGAGATAGAATAATCCGATTTTGCTCCAACTTTGCAAATTCTTATATTTGCGTCAGTTCTAGGTCACTTGCAAAAATGGATAATATCGGTCCGATTCATTATGTACCTTCCCCACAAAGGGTCAAAGATTTGAATAATTATAACTCTTATAAAATCTGATGTAAGAGTCCGCTTCTCGTCATATTTCACATATTTCATTATTTCCATTAATACAAGATTTGCTATGAAGATGGCTTATATCGGGGCACTCCTTTAGGTACCTCCCCGACAAAACGTCGAAATTTTCAAAAAAAAAAAAAAAAATATATTCTGCACAGAAAGGGATAGAATAATCAGATTTTGCTTCAACTTTGCAAATCCTAATATTTGCGTCAGTTCTAGGTCACGTGCAAAAATGGATAATGTCGGTCCGCTTCATTAAGAGCCTTCTCCACAAAGGGTCAAAGTTTTGAATAATTACAACTCTTATAAAATCTGATGTAAGAGTCCGGTTCTCATCATATTTCACATATTCCATTATTTCCATTAATCCAAGATCTGCTATGAAGATGGGTTATATCGGCGCACTCCTTCAGGTACGTCCCCTACAAAGGGCCAGAATTTTCAATATCCACGAAACTCATAAAACGTGATATTAACATTCGATTCCATTCAGACTTGGTACATCTCAATATTGCAATCAAGACAAGATATGTTCTAGAGAAGGTAGAGATCGGGCCATTCCTTCTGGTACCTCCCCCACAAGGATCAAAATTTTGAATAACCAAAACGATTATAAAATCCGAAATAAGCAACCATTTATTTTAATATTTCACCCATAGATGGTGTATTTCGTCTTGATCCGAACAATATTAATTAATAGAAATGGTGCCCAACGTCACTTTTTGACATGGATTTTTATACCCTACAACACTATGTGTTGGGGGTATTATAAGTTTGATTGGGCCAGAATTTATGTAACACCTCGAAATATTGGTTTCCCATATAGGAAAGTATATATGGATCTTCCTAGCTCGCCGAGCTGAGTCGATCTAGCTATGTATGTCCGTCCGTCCGTCTGTCCGTCTGTCCATGTTAATTTGTAATCACTCTACAGGTCGCAATTATGGCCCGATCTTCACGAAATTTAGAATGTAGGTGGGGTTAAGGTCAGAATAGAACCCTATTTCTTTTGGAGATGATCGCATAATATTTAGGGGTTGAAATGGACCAAAAACTGAAAAAATTCCTGATTTTGTAGTTGCTCTACAGGTCGCAATTATAGACCAATCGACGCGGAATTGCGCATGTAGCTAGAGTTTAGGGCGGGGAAGAAGCCTACCAATTTGGGTGGTCATCGGATAATATTTAGCGGGTAAAATAGACCATATCTTTTGTGTTGAAAAAATTCAACATTTTTCATTAAACCGCGAATATTTTAAATCCCGGCGAAATCACGAAGCCATGACAAGGTTACTTCTGACCTTTACATTGATGTTATTATCCAACAAATCGGATATATAGCAAAATATGTGCGATAAATATGTCTATCAAAGAAGATGTGCTTGAAAGATCTCTTATATGTCGAGAACGGCTGAACTGATTTCGACAGTTCTCATTAATTCAGAATGGCCTCTTGGCAGGAAACAAAAAACGTCTAAAAAATCGCATAAAAATATCTCTCTAAAGATGAAAATATTGATTTTGTAACATTTTCTAATATTTTTTCAAATTTGTCATATTTTTGGCATATTTTCATTTTGAATTAAACATTTGGTAATATTTCTACAGCTAACAAAACTAAGTAGTTAGGATATCATATACAGATCGCATTTATGGCCCGATCCTTATGAAATTTTGCATGGGGATAAGATGAGGGTCAGAATAGAAGCCTACTCTTTTTGGAGATTATCGCCATATATTTAGGGGTTAAAATGGACAAAAAAAACTGCAAAATTATCAGCAAGTCGTAATTATCGCCCGATCGCATTTGAATGGAGGTTACCGGACATTGCAAAAGCCAAATAGTTTTGGATGGCCATCCAAAAATATTCAATGTGTGAACTAGTTTGCCAACTTTTGTAGACAAAATACGAAAATATCCATTCCAGTGTCTTTTTGGAGAATTCACAAATACAGGAAAGACGCACTTCTGACTATTTCGTTAAGGCTGATTTCGTTGAAGAATATAGTCAAATGTCTGTATCTCATATAGATGCGTTTAAGTCAAAAACCAATAATAGATGTTAATCTTTTGCCACTTCTGAGAGATTATAGGTCTTTGGAAAATATTGGTTCCAGATCTAGGAAGACCATTTACGTGCAACATCTACCTATAAATTGGAAATGAGCAAATTAGTTCAAGTTTCTATTATTCGAAAATTAGAACGAAACCTGATGGTTTTCTTTTATTATTTGTCACAATATCTTGTGGAATTCTTTCGAGTATATGGCCTATATAAACTGTATCATTTATTATAGTGTTGTAGGGTATTCAACGGTCGGCCCCGCTCGACTGTAGCCTTTGCTTACTTGTTTTTTAATATCGAATGGCGCCCAACATGGGCATGATTAAGAAGTTTTATTTATTTAAGTTATGGTCAAAAAAATTTTGGATTTAACCATAGATGGTGTATTTGTTGTTGGTCGGAAAAATATTGAAAAATAGAAATGGCGCCCAATGTCATTTTTTTACATTAATTTTTTAATATCAAATGGCGCCCAACGTGGGGAGGATTAAGGAGTTATATTTATTTAAGTTATGGTCAAAAAATATTGGATTTATGGATAGAAGGTGTATTCTTTGTTGGTCGGAACAATATTAAAAAATAGAAATGGCGCCCAACGCTATTTTTTTTTTTGACATGGATTTTTTTTAATATTTAAAATGGCGCCCAACTCGGGCAGGATTAAGGAGTTACATTTATTTAAGATATGGTTTAAAAAATATAGGATTTTGTGTTGGTCGGAAAAATATTAAAAAAATAGAAATTGCGCCCAAGGTATTTTCGATTTTTTTTAAATTTTTTTCTTAGTATTTTGATATCCTGCCAAACCCCCCCTTCAAACCTTAAAACTACAAAAACCTCATTACCAATTGTTGTTATCACAGTCCAGCAGTACAAAATACAATTGACAAAATTCCATGAACGTTGGCCGGGAAAATAACGTATACCCATGGCGCCCATGGTGTGTAATTCCTCTTCGAATTTGCGCAGCTTAGAACGGGCCAAGGTTTTCCAATCTTCCTCTCTAAAAAACAAAAAAATTAACATTTTCTCCCTCTGGGATCCTCCTCTCCCCTCTTCTCACCTCATATTGTGCGACACGGTCCACAGATGATCGATGAAATCCCGTTTCACCTTGCGCACCTCACATTTGTATATGTCCTCGGATGTGCCTTCGGTATAGCGAAACATAAGGCCACCGAAGCCGATGAGTAGAATCAAAACAATGGTGTGGGCGAAGCATTTGTTTCGCAGCTTTTTCATTTCCTTTAGCTCTTGCGGATGATTCGATTTCATGACGCGCCAGTCATGGCGCGCCTCGGAGAGAAATACTTTGAGGAAGGCCCAAGAGAACAATTTGTCGGGTATTTCATTGTCTTTGGGAATTTGAGGCTGAGCTAAAAGCTGTTCCTGTTCCTTGGGGGGTTCATTGGTGGTTGCGGTGACTTCAGGTTTCGTCTTCCGGAAACGTCCAAACAATCGTCGCAGGAAAGAGGGTTTCTCTGCAGAGGTTGGGATTTGCAACTGCTCCTGTTTTGTTTCCTCCTCTCCAACTGGCGATTTCTTCTTTTCCGGTGTTGTTTTGATGACAACAACTTCATGTTCCTTTGGGAGAGCTTTCGGTACAGCACCACTATCCACCTTGTCTTGTGACTCCAAACTTGCCCGCCGCTTTTCTAACTCCAGACTATGTTTCCTCCTAACCTCCACATCGTGTTGAGGCTCATGCCTCCTAGTTTTCCTATGTCTCAGTTCATTTTCCACTTCTGTGGAAGTGGTCTCTTGCGCAGCCTGTACCTCTCTAAGGCTGTGTTTCCTCTCCAACTCCGCCCTTTGCTCGGGAGTTTTTGAACGTCGAGCCGGCCTTACCGGAGACAATGAGTTATTGCGACTCAGCGTATTCCTAACGGGTGAAAGAGAGGTTTTTCGCGAAGCTGGCTTCATGGGCGACAGCGAACTCTTGCGAGAGCCAGGATCTTGCCTTACCGGCGATAAGGAGTTATTACGGCTGGCAGCCTTACGCACCGGCGGCTGGGGCGGTGGTCCCCTAACACTGGCCGTAGCCAAGGCACTGTTGTGCCTTCTCACCGGAGACATTTGCTTGGCCATTCTTTCCTCCATCATTTCATTCTCCGAGGAGGAAAACTGAGTCGATGACTCCTCATAACAGCCACTGTGGCGATTGCGTCTTTGGGGAAGTGTTCTCGGCGCCGGCACATTTGCCTCGGTGCGATCCAATCTTAAACTGTGAATCAATCTCCTTCTCTCCTCAGCATCTTGCGGTAGCTTTATGCGATCACTCAGCTTACGATAGTTCTGGAGCAGACGTTTCCTCTCTTCACTGTCGATCATTTGTTTATACCTCATCTTGTGATCTCTCTTCTCCAGCTCAAAGAGTCGCTTCTCCGACTCGAAACGTTTACGTTCCTCCTCAAAACGCCTTAGATTGGCTTCTAGCCTTGATAGATTCTCATCTGCCGTTGATTGTACAGGTTGTGGTTGCCTTGCCACCCTGGCCTCCGGCGATAGGGCCCTATCGCTGGTCATCATTTCAGTTTCACTGGAATCCGCCAATTGTTTGTTACGCGGCATCGACAAACTTCTCTTGACAGTCCTTATCAATTCACTGGCCTCGGGTTCGGAAAGTTTCTCCGCTTCTCTGGGCTGTGAGTGTGATCTGGCCGAGGCAGTGGCAAAGGTCTTATCGCGGCGTCGCAAGATTTTACTTTCATGAGCGGAGAGAGTACGCTGTGGAGGTCGTATTTGCATGCTGACAAGTTGACCGCCACCGCCCGACCGTTCACTGCCATCCACGAAACTACTTTCATCCTCAGAGGAGCGTTGACGGTGATGACTGGCATCGGGGGTCTTTTCACGCATTGAACGACCCACACGACGTCTGCGGCGCACATGTGAGGAAGACGAAGTCGAGGGTTCTTCGCGATATTCGCGATCCATTTTTGATTTTTTTTCCGTTACAGATTTTTTCAAATCGTATTAATCCTTTTGTTTCTTTGCGATACTTTTCAATACGGATTAATTATTGAATTCATATCTCGTATTTTTTAGGTTTTAATACTGCATTAGGGTTTTAATCGCTGATTTTGGTTTTTAATTTCATAAATGCGGTTTTAATTTTCAGTCACTCGAATTCGACAGTCTTAGGTGTTTTGAGATTATTTTTCGTAAATTTTAAGGACCTACAAGAATACGTTTTAGTGTTTTGAAGATTTCACTTCACTTGCGTGTAAATTTGTTGCCGGTTACATTGAGATTGAGAAATTACGTATAAAATTTGCTATATTTTTTCGCCTGACTCAACACAAATTTTTCATAAAGTTCTGTGTACTTCTAAGGTGAAAGGTCAAGAATTCTGTATCTCAGAGGACGCAAAAAATGGTAAAAAAAAAACATTTCACTGGCTGGCTTTAAATTCTACTTTCAGAAGGATGTCTTTCTTTTGAAGCCCTTTTAAAGAGCCTTCCTTGCATTTCCTTTCAAAAGGACTTTTGTGAATAGAGACCAATCAGCGACCTTCCATTGAAAAAGGCTTCTAAAACATCCTTCCATGAAAATAGATCTTTTCAAAGGACATTTGACGATTAAGAAGCCCATCTATGGACTTCCATAAACTGAAGCCTGTAAGCTTTCAAGAATGTAAGCTCTTAAAAAAATTCATGAATGTAAGCTCTTAAAAATAGGATCCCTTTCAAAAACCGCCCCTTGATAGAAGCCCTTGAAAATGGGATTTTATAGATAAAATCCTCTAAAAAGGATATCAATTTCGAATATATATATATATATATATATATATTTATTTATATCTATATATATATATATATATATATATATATATATATATATATATATATATATATATATATATATATATATATCCTTCTATCGAGTACAACCCTTAGAAATTAAATTTTTAGACAAAAGCTCCTTTAAAAGAGCTTCAAGGACATAAGGATAGAAGACCAGTCGAAAAATCTACTTTGGATAACAGCCCTTTAAAATGCCTTATGTGGATAGAAGTACATTCGATAAACGAAATTTCCTCTGAAAATCCTTCAATGGATAGAAGATCTCTCTCTCTCTCTCTCTCTCTCTCTTTAAAAATCTCTATATCTCCTTATATCTCTGATCTTGAAAAATCTGCTTTGGATACCAGCCCTTTAAAACTCCTTATGTGGATAGAAGTACCTTCGATAAGTGAAATTTCCTTTAAAATTCATTTCATGGATAGAAGACCTCTTTCTCTCTCTCTCTCTCTCTCTCCCTCTCTCTCTAAAAATCTCTGTATCTCTTTATAATTCTGATCTTGGTTCCTGGGAATTTCAGGGTCTTCTTTCCTTCAAAAGAAATATCAATATCTCCAAAAATAATCTCTCTTCCCTCCTTGCATAGCTTTTATATTTCTCTTATCTGCCTAATTTTATATGATGCCTGAAATGCAGGATATTCAATTAAAAAATATCAATAAAATTATATATTCCATTAATTTTACCCTTATCGGCCATTGATCGAAGGGCTATATTGACCCTAGATAGTAATTTCCTAGACCTAAAGATCATAATTTTCCCTAGAGGAATATCAATATCCTTTAAAAATCTCTCTCTCATTTATTGCATTTATATTTCTCTAATAAAATTCAAATCTCTCAATTCACTTCAAAAAAAAAAAAAAAAAAAAAAAAAACAAGTAAAAAAAACTGTAAGTTCGGCCGAACCTTGAATACGCTCCACCATTTGGAACGAATTTGGCAATTTTCAAAACCAATAAAATCCGTAAAAAATTCTGCTCAAATCCTAAAAACACCTACTGTAGCTGTTACATTAGGGTCTATACGACGACATGGACCTGCATAGGTAACTTTTGTCATAAGCCATTATAATATTCAAATGCGAAACTTAAAAAAATCGGTGAATAATGTAGCTAACATCATTAAAATACCGAATATCGGGAGGTACCTTTATATGGGGGCTATACGAAGACCTGGACCTGCACAGACATTTTTCTGTCTTAGGCTGTAGTATCCACTACGAACTTCAAATACCAAATTTGAAACAATTCCGGTGAATGACGTCGCTAAAATCATCAAAATACCGAATATCCGGAGGTACCGTTATATAAGGGCTATACGAATACGTAGACCTGCACAGACAGTTTTCTGTCTGAGGCTGCAGCATGCATTTCAAACTTCAAATACCAAATTTGAAACAATACCGATGAATATTGTCGCAAAAATCATCACATTACCGAATATCGGGAGGTACCATTATAGGGGGGCTATACCAAAACGTGGAGCTACATGGCCCATTTTCAATACCAAAAGTCATTCATACATAATATACATTTGAGTAAAATTGTATCAATCTACTTCAATTCGTTTGGAAGCTAGAGTGATTTCCACCGACGGACAGATGGACGGACATCGTTTAATCGACATAGAATTTTATGCTGATCAAGAATATATATATATATTTTGTGGGGTCTAAAATGTATATTTCGAGGTGTTACAAACGGAATGACAAACTTTATATACCCCCCCATACTATGGTGGAGGGTATAATAACACTCATCTATAGATTTAAGGTTCTAGGATGCATTTATAGCTCTTTTCAAAAGTCTTCGAATTTTATAATTTCGCTTCTGCTAAATGGCTATCAACATTATCTAAAAGACTTGCCCTGTAAATTCCCCGTTACTACCATATGTTATATTAATGTCTCTCTATTCGGGGTTTCTTTCCTAAAACATATTCTTCCCTCTATATAAGATGCTCTTTCCCTCTCTCTTCTAAGATTTTCGATAATCCCTTTAAAAATCCACTACTAAGAATGAAAGGCACTTACAGGTCCCTGGGTTCCTTTATAGCTCTTTGAAAAGTACTTCAAATATAAAGATCTTCTCTATTTTTTCCCATGTCATATATTTTTTCTCTTATTGGATATTTTTTCCTCCATAAAACAATACTATTTATCCCTATCACTCTCTATTTTCAAATGAATTAGTTTTACAAATTTTTCATAAAGACTGTGGACTGCTCCTTTCAACCATTTCCTTCTATAAGGGGAATATATTTTTGAGGTGCCAGAAACACCTATTATGACCTTTCAAAGGGTGTTGTAATTTCTGGATATTCATTTCATCTTATGTGTTAATAATATCGCCATATGCTCTTCTTTCTATTTTAATACATAACTTTTTTTTCTCTCATCGGATTATCTCTCCTAAAATTCAATAGCTAAAAAACAAATTCTCTCTCTCTCTCTTTTAATTTTCTAAAAAAAAATGTTCTATTCTCAATCTACCTTAAAGGATTTTAGAGAATCCCGTTCCACTCCCCTTTTATTAATAAAATCCCTTAGAGTCATAGAATCATCTTTATAAACCATCTAAGGTTTCTTCGAATTTTGGGATTGTCCTTTCCTCTATAAATAACAATATCGCCAAATAAATTCTCTCTTTCTCTCATATTTAACTCATCGGACTTTTCTCTTCTATGTCTGTTGTAATCACGCTATCTTTCGAATAAATTGAGATAGATGGCTAAAATTTTACACACATATTTATTTTTCCAGTAGGCAGGTTAAGTTCGTAAATGGGCCATGTAGGTCCACGTTTTCATATAGCTCCCATATAACGGTAACCCCCCTAAATTCGGTATTTTGATGATTTTAGCGACGTTATTCACCGGAATTGTTTCAAATTTGGTATTTGAAGTTCCAAATGGATACTACACCCTAAGATAGAAAATTGTCTGTGCAAGTCTATGTCTTCGTATAGCCCCCATATAACGGTACCTCCCGATATTCGGTATTTTGATGATTTTAGCGACATTATTCACGGGAATTGTTTCAAATCTGGTATTTGAAGTTCCAAATGGATACTACACCCTAAGACTGAAAATTGTCTTTGCAGGTCCACGTCTTCGTATAGCCCCATATAACGGCACCTCACTATGTTCGGTATTTTGATGATTTTAGCACATTATTAACCGGAATTGCTTAAAATTTGGTATTTGAAGTTCGTTATGGGAACTACAGTCTGTGACAGAAAATTGTCGGTGCGGGTCCAGTTTCGAATTTGAATATGGTAATGGCTTATGACAAACCATGCATATGTATGTCCACGTTGTATAGACCCCAATGTAACGGCTATATTCGGTATTTTTAAAATTTTAACAGAATTTTTTAAGGATTTTATTTTTTGAAAATTTCCAAATTCGTTGCAAATGGTGGAGGGTATTAAAAGTTCGGCCCGGCCGAACTTACTGCTTTTTAAACTTGTTTCTAAATATCATGCTCTTTTTTTCGTGCAATTTTCATTTAAAGATTTTGAAGAAGTACTTTTAAGAAATAGACTCTTATATATTTCATGTTATTTCAAAAAGAAGAATTACAGAATAGGCCCTTAAAAGTCATTTACATCCCTTTCAAAAGAACTTCGAACTTCAGGGTATTCATTCCTCTAAAGAACTTAAAAATTTTGCCATAAATACTGAAGGAATTTTTTCTCCACAAATATAATTCTCTCACTCTATCTCCTATATGATGCAATTTTTCTTAACATTTCTTTAATGAAATTTAAAAAACTTCTTTTAAAGTTAGGATGAATTTTTTTCAAGTTTCAAAAAAAAAAAACCATTTGTAGCCCATTCATAAGATCGTCAAAATTGAGAATTTTTAGTTCACTGTCTGTCCAAAAAGCACAATGATGTTCGCTTTCATGGTAGCTCTCTTCATAATTTATTTTGTTGTTTCAAAAGAACCTGGTTGAATCCCACAGTTGTTGTTTTTGTAACAATAATTGGAGAAAAATGACTATGGGGAATGACCGAGAAGACCATGGTTTGAAAAAGGTCAATCAATCCTCGTCAGTTCCCCTGGTTTTTTTCCTGTGGATATTCTAACCATGGGCTTTTTTGAAAACAACTCATATAGGAAAAAAAAACTTTTTTAAAGGACTATCAATTTAGCCCAAAAAGTTCTCTACATCTCTCACATTCCAAAATTTTGCATCTCTTCTCTGATTTGTATATCCCAAACTACAATTCCCTCTCTCTTTCACTCTCTTTTATGATCTCTTTAAATTTCTCGTTTCAGGTTTCCCTAAAGAATATTCTCTTTTTCATCTCTCTCTTTATATGATGATCTCTCTCTTTATAATTTCCATTCTCAATATTTTTCTTTTATTATTTTTTTTATTTATTTTAATTTTTTCGTTGGTGTTTTTAATAATCCATCCGTATTATTATGTTTTCGCTTATGTTTTCTTGCACTTTTCACTTTCATACAAATTCCGACGATTCATTCGTGTTAGCTTGTTTGAAAACATTCGGAACACACTTCCGAATGGCTATTTATAAATAGCCTAATTTCGGTGGTCTATGGTTGAATTGTCGTAAGTTGGTGGGTACTGAGTATCCCGCACGAGAATTGTGCCCCTCTTTAGCTAAGAGGGGGGCAGCACACACACAAGGTGTTTCTTGTTTCAATATTTTTGATTTTTTTTTTTTTTTTTGTTTCAAAATTATATCATACTTTTCTTCGAAATATTGATTTGTTTTAATATTTTTTACTTTTTCAAAATTTTCATTTATTTTTTTTAAATATTAATTTTTTCACATAATTTTTTTCTCTATTCTATTCGTTTTGAAATATCTATATGTATTGGGCAATTTTCTTTTATATATTCAACAAAAAATTTTCTTTAATAAATTTTTCTTAATTTTCTTTTGTTTTTTTCTCTGTCGCACAACATTTCGTTTTGTTATTGGCCCAGTGAAAAACGCGCTCGCATCGATGTCTAAAAATGAACTGTTTTGAGTTGTTCTCATATTTTTGGCCATAACCGAAAGCAGCAGCGGCAGACAGACAGACAGTCAGTTAGCAGCAGCAGCAGCATCGTTAGCAGTTGTAGCTGTTGGCCTTATGATGTCTGTCCTGATCTGTTTGGTATTCCTGTTTTGTTTGGTTGTACGACGATGATCGTCGATGTGTGCCACAAAGAGAGAGGAGAAAAAATTACGCTATTCAAGAGAGAGATATCAAAATTGAGAGAATACTTATCTCTTTGGATTTTGAATTTTAATATTGAGGTATATGTTTTTCTTTTGAATGCCTTTGGCAAAAATAAACAAAAAATACCGATTGTTTTATTGGCATTACAACAAAGCAGGGGAAGAGACAAAAGAAATAGGATACTGCCCTCATGGTACAATAACAATAACAACAACAACAATTCTTCATGCATATGTTTTACATGCATCTTCTCGGTTTACAGCAGTGTTGCTGGCAGCATTCCATACCTGCTTTGTTAATTTGCAGATCATTAACCCAGTTCAAGGACATGGTAAGTGAAGTAGGAAGATAAAAGAGAAGAGGACCAAATAAGCATTTGTAAGCCGATGCCCATTTTAGCTGAAAAGGAGGAAATACGACTAGTGATCTCGAACCACAATCTGGTCTAAAATTTAAGGAGATTACACCGCAGTCGTTGAAGAGAGAAGTATTTTCAACAAATTTCAGGCTTTAGAAACTATGGATAGCCATGGCAAAATCTTAACAATTCAAGGACTAAGGAGTAGTTTCTCTTAAGGTCAACAAAGTCTCCCTAAACTTCATCTGGTCATTAACTACTCATCAAAAGAAACACCTAAAAAGATAGGTGAACCAAAACTTTGGGTATTTGAAGCACTTTTTGAAGCATAATGCGTCATAATTTAGTCTTCTTTTGTGAGAACGAAATCGAGATGAACCTATCACAAATATCTTTACTGAAGATAATAACCAGCTATCTCAACTCGTTACACCCATAAACCCCTCCGCACATTCATATTTGATGAAAATAGTTTCAAAGCTTTAAAGTCCCATTTTGAGGCGTAAAACGTCATTGTTTCCTCATCATATGTGAGGGAGAAATGGAGCTGAAACCTTGCCAAGTGTTTTCTGTAAAGGTCGGAACCCCCTCCCTCAACTCCGTATTCCTCTAATGTCTCGTCAGGAGAAACACTTAGAAATGTGGATGAAACACAATCGCTAAGCTTTAAAGCGCCATTTGACGCACAACGCATCGTTTTCTCAGGATTTTATAGGAGGGTCGAATAAAGATGAGAGACTTATGAGTACTTTAGCTGAAAGACGTAACCACCTGCCTCAACTCCATGTACCCATAAACCTCTCATTACAAGAAACGCAAATTCATGTGAGTGAACAACAATTGTAAAGCTTTAAAGCATCGTTTTGATGCACAACGCGTTGTTTTTGCGGGATTTCATGTGAGAGTGAAATTAAGCTGAGAATCTTGAGAGTAATTTTTCTGAAAGACACATACATCTGCCTCAACACCTTGTGCCCCTAAACCTACCATTACAAGAAACTCAAATTCATGTTAGTGAAACAAAATTTTAAAGTTTTGAAGCGTCGTTTTGGCATATAACGCCTCGTTTTTCCAGGATTTCATGTGAGGGTGAAATGAAGATAAGAGTCTTGGGAGTACTTTCTCTTAGAGACTTAACCACCTGCCTTAACGCCTTGTACACTAAACCTCCAATTACAAGGAACCCAAGTTTATTTGAGTGAAACACAACTTGGAGGCTTTAAAGCGTCGATTTGATGCACGAGGCGTCGGTTTTCTAGGATTTCATGTGAAAATGAAATGAACATAACGGACTTGGGAGTACGTTATTTTAAAGATGTAACCATCTGACTCAACTCCTTGTACTCCTAAACCTCCCATTACCAGCAACGCAAATTTATGTGGGTGAAACTCAATTGTAATGACTAATGAAGTCCTGGAAATCCTTAAAAATATTTGCTTCGGACTTCCAGGGAACCCTGAAAATATTTCCACATAAAATGAAGACTTAAAGAGTCCTAGTTTGTCTTGCAAATATTTTTACAAAATATTGTCTTCAAGAGTCCAGAGAAGCCACGAGAATTCTCTTAAAATATGTAAACTTTAAGAATCGTAGATTAGTGGTTTATAAATTATTAGCTTTAAAAGACCTGGATAGCCTTGAAATTATTTAAAAAAAACCTTCGACTTAAAGAGTTATGCATTGCTTCGAAAACGCCCTTTCAAACTGTAGTCTTAAAGAGTCCTTGAAACCCTTAAAAATATTCTTGAAAAAAATCAAGACTATGGGGATCCTGAATAGCCTTGAAAATATCCTTTCAAAATATCGACTTGTCCAGTCCTTGGATGTCTTGAAAAAAATGCTTGAAAAATTATGTTGTCCAAAATATTAAATTCTAAAGTCCTACAAACTATAGTCTTGAAAAGACCTTGAAACCCTTGCAAATATTCTTGAAATAAATGAATAAATGGTGGATAAAATAAAAACCGACCAATAGAGTGTTTGGAAATATTCTTAAAATCGTATGTTTTTCAGAATATTGGATTTTGAAGACGTGGATAGCCTGGAATATATATATATATATATATATATATATATATATATATATATATATATATATATATATATATATATATATATATATATATATATATATATATATATATTTTTGAAGACGTGGATAGCCTGGAATATATATATATATATATATATATATATATATATATATATATATATATATATATATATATATATATATATATATATATATATATATATATATATATATATATATATATATATATATATATATATATATATTTGTGTATCGTACCATCGCTCATTTCCGTCATACTGGTAGCGTCAAGAAAGTGAACGGAAGAAAACAGCAACATCAGCAGAAATGGTTCGAAAAGTAAAGAAGCGACTTGATCGAACGCCGCGTCGCAGTGGCCGAAAAATGGCTCGTGAGCTGACCACATCGCAATATTCCATTCGGCAAATATTGAGAAATGAGCTCAGGGTAAAGCCATTGAAATTCCAAAAAGTGCAAGAACTTACACCGCAACAGAAAGAAAATAAACTCAAAAGAGTTGCTTCACTTGGCCGAAAGTGGTGAACTGTCAAATTTGGTTTCCTCCGATGAGAAAACATTTGTTATCCAGCTGTTTGTAAACAAACTAAATGATCGTGTTTACTTGCCAAAGAGGTCAGCTAAAAATGTGCACCTTCGGTTGGCCTCCAGAACCCAAGCGCTGGCCATGGTGCTGGTGTGGGCCGCAAAATGTCCACCAAAATCTCCGGATACCAATCCGTTGGACTATTGTGTCTGAAGTATTTTGGAAAGCAAGGTTGGCACTAAAAAATACCAAAGTATCGATCACCTCAAGCAAGCGCTTCGCCGGGAATGGGCCAAAATGCCGCAGAGCAACATTCGGGCAGAGTGTGACGGTTTCATTGGCCGTTTGAAGGCCATATTCGTGCCAAAGGTGACCAATTCGAACAAATCTAAACCTATTCTAAAATTAACAAGTAAAAAAGCTGTAAGTTCGGCCGTGCCGAACTTTTAATACCCTCCACCATTCGGTACAAATTTGGCAATTTCCAAAAAAAAAAATCCGTTTAAAATTCTGTTAAAATCTTAAAAATACCGAATGCCTATACGACGACGTAGACCTGCATAGGCAACTTTTGTCATAAGTTATTACAATATTTAAATGCGAAACTTGAAGAAAAATCTGTTTATAATGTAGCTAAAATCATCAAAATACCGAATATAGTGGGTACCGTTATATGGGGGCTATACGAAGGCGTGGACCTGCACAGACAATTTTCTGGCATGGGCTGAAGTTTCCATTACGAACTTCAAATACCAAATTTGAAACGATTCCGGTAAATAATGTCGTTAAAATCATCAAAATACCGTATATCGGGGGGTACCGTTATATGGGGGCTATATGATTACTTGGACCTACATGGCCCATTTACGAACTTAACTTGCCTACTGGCAAAATACACATGTGTGCAAAATTTTAGTCTTCTATCTCAATTTGTTCGAAAGATAGCGTGATTACAATAGATAGACAGACAGACAGACAGACGGACAAACAGACAGACAGATAGACGGACGTGGCTAAATCGTCTTAGAATTTTACGCTGATCAAGAATATATATACTTTGTTGGGTCTGACATGAGTATTTCGAGGAGTTACAAACGGAATGACAAAATTAATATAGCCTCCATAGTATGGTGGAGGGTATAAAAATTATTATAATTATTTATCTCACCCTGAAAATATATCAACTTAGAGAGTCATGCATTGCTTTGAAAATATCTTTACAAAAAAAAACAGTCGAACCTTGGCAGCTGCCTATTTTTTGAAAAATTCCTTCAATACAATTCCATTTAAATTTTCATTTAACATTCGAACCGAAAAAGGCAACTAAACAAACTAAACAACCTTTCAAATTGTTTTCATTGTCAAGAGCGTACCGAAATGTGGAGAGAACATTGAACTAACAAAAATATCACTAGATGGCGCCACACGTTAATATGATGGTTGATGTAATTGCTAAATACGGGTTATTTTTCAAATAGCATTGCCAGGTGCAAAATTTTAAATTAAAGAAAATACTGAAATAACGGCAAACAAAAGCTACTGAATGGAGATGAATAAAAAGGATATTTCAAGATTTTTTTTTTTAAATAAAAATTATTAAAAAATGTCTAAAATATTTATTGTTGAAAGGTCTGCATAAATTGTGAAGACTTAGAAGAAGCCTTTCCATTTGTAAAAGATTTGGTCTTTATTCTTCCCAAAAGGGTTTTTTATACCCTCCACCAATCTATGGAGGGTATATTAACTTTGTCAATCCGTTTGTAACTCCTCGAAATATTTATAATAGACCCTACAAAATATATATTTTCTGGATCATCGTAAAATTCTAAGACGTTCTAGCGACGTTCGTCTG